CAGATGCTGTGTTGAAGCCATCGTGCAATTCATGCACAATTTCGGGGTGTGCCAGGCCAAAACATGCCATGTCGTCCTGCCGGCGTGGCACGATGACATGCCAGTGTGCCATGCATGCTGCACCGCTATTCCATTTGCACAAAAACCTGAGCGAAAAGTTCGGGCGATGCCCTTCTCCTACTCCAGTGTCTCATGTGACATTTCGAGAACACCGATGCCACGTTGAAAGCACGATCCTTGAGGTACAGAACATTATCTTGAAGCTCGAATCCTAAACTCGTCATTTCACGATTCGGCCACAAGAGCTTTCGCGCGCTCATATGACCGACTGACGTCCGTGAATACTATGGTACCCAATATAGAGTAAGATTCTATCCTCCTTGTGGGTATACTATTTTATATGATGAATATAATCTTACTGGGTTTAACCACCAGAAAAACGCTACTCAAATGGCTTGGCTTGTCCTGGCTTGCTGAGCGTTGTGCCCCGCTTTCATCAATCTTGTCTGCAACTCCATTGCCTGGCACTCTTCCATTGCACTGAGGCATGCGCTGTGCCAGTATCAGAATTCGATTTGCTTGGCGACCCGTATCGAGATATCCAACCATGGAACGCAGATTTGTGGCACGGCCGCATGCCGAAGATCCCCCTCCCCATTACCTCTGTGAAATGGGGTGTTCCGGGGTCCTGGTAAACCGGTTTAGTTTACCAGAAAAATGCCCCTGGGGTACCTCATTTTACAGAGAATAGGGTTCGGAGGGGTCGGGCACCTCATTTTACAAGCCTTCTGGGGTCGACCCCCCATTTCACAATAGCCTGTGTGGGGTCGGGGCCTCCCATTTTACAGACCTTCCAGGGTGGGTACCCCCATTTTACAATAGCCTATGGGGAGGTCGGGGTCCCCCATTCTACAGGCCTTCCAGGGGCGGGTACGCCCATTTTACAGTGGCCATGTTCTTGCATTGTTCTCAATCTCATTGTTTATAGTTGTCGTAAGTAGTTCGAGTCTTTTGGTATTTGGTTCGCAAGCCCTCTGAGCTCTAAGCCTTTTTGCATCGCAGCATTTGGACACAAGTGATGGTGGTGCCAGTTGAACCATAGTCTAAACTCCTTAAAGGGTTATATGGGGGATTCTATAAGGGAGTAATTAGTAGGTTATATGGGGGATTCTATAATAGTAGAGGGGTGATTAAGTGGGACACTCGGAGATTACAGTATAGCTCACATAGGGATTACATAGGAGATATAGGAAGCTATAATACAGCCCAATCAACAGTACGCAGCTGCGGTTCCCCCAAAGTCCTTCAAACCCTGGGTAACCTCATTTTACAGAGCGAAATCTCTGTAAAATGGGGGTACCCAGGGGTCACCGTAAATATTAACAAGGGACTCAACTCCCAAAGGTTCTCTAAAAAATGACCCTTGGCCCCTCATTTTACAGAGATTTCGTGCTTCATGTTAAGCCCCGGGTACCACCGTTTTGGTCAGTAAAATGGGGGGTCCCAGGGTCGACCCTGAATACGAAGGGGGATTGCCGAAGCTCAAGATCACAGTCGTAGCGTGATGCCATCCGGTGAAACATGTGCATGCTTCAATGCGTCAGGCACCTGTCAGCTCGAGCGAACGATGCAGAAATAGCTGGACTCCTTTGTGACGCACCACCCCCGCTGCCGTTGGTGAGGGAAGACAGGACAACCTAGACTTTTGAACTTGCGCCTATTCAGATGTTTGTGTTCCAGTTCCAGGACAGAGATTGCTCAGCGACCCGGCTCTGTCACCCTTATGCTTGCACGTGCACCTGCGCCTATGCAAAAAGGCCGTTGCAATCTCGGCTTGCGCATTGCAAGGATGGAGGCAGATGTGGGCCAGGCCTTACAAGCCTCGGCTGCTAGAGCACCAATTAGATCGAGTGCAAGTGCCGAGCAGAGGCCGGAGGGTGTGCTTTCCATAGGTCAAGTACTACACACAATTTGACAGATTGTCACGTTCACTAGTAGGTAAAGATGAGGTAGCATTTTAAGAACATCCGATGAAGCTTTTGCCCATTCGTGGTAGCAATGCCCCACAGCAAGTTTAATCCTCAAGAAGGACTTGCAGCATCTTGGAACTTTGCTTTGATGACATGGCTGCACCCACCTGACCCTCAGTTCAGTTCATTTATTCTTAATTAATGGGCTTCAGAACTGCAGGTTGGGCCATGACGATGTCTCTGACAAGGAGCTGGACGCATTGAGGTAAAACTAGAGTGAAGACATGTCGACGGGTATAAGCGGATTGTGAGGAGTCAGCCCTTCCAGATTTTTTAGGGGCGCCGCAGTAGTTATCCAAAATAGTGGCGGTCTGAGATCAAAGGCCAGTTGTTATGACTAGCTTGCATGGATCGTCCTGCCGGCGTCGAAGTACTTCAGACGGAATCAATGAAGGGGACATGCGTAAATTGTTCATGACAGTTTCAAGTTGACAGGAACTGTCGCTCACGGGGGCTTTGTATATGTACATTGTTGTAGATGCTTGAGGACATGCCAGCCTGATCGACCAGTTTGCTTGGGCACGGGACAACAAAGGGCCATCTCAGGCACCTTGGAAAGATTGAGCATGAAGTCATGGGAACTCGGGTGGTCCTTTCATGCGCGTTACCCATCCACACTCGAAATCTAGCATCCCGAAAATCCTGTGCGCCTATTTATAGCACTTCTTATTTCACAAGTCCAGGACAGGAGGAGCTTGCAGACAGGTCCAACAGCCAGCTCCAGATGGTGGAATTAGTGGCCATGTAGCCCTCGCTTGTAGCTTCAGATGTCCTGGGGCACACGTTCCAAGCCGGCAGCCCTTACAAGAGACTACCGATACTGGCAGAAGTCATCAAAATCTTGCCAATGACTGATGCCAGAGCCGCACATGCTCTCCGAAGCAAGACGCAAACCTCATTCATCTCCGAACCAATTGAAGCTGAGGTAGCGTGGTTAGTCGGGTGGCCCGATCCGCTAGTTGGGGTTGCTTGGTTATGTTGGCTCGCAATCGCGTCAGCAGGTTTCTGAGTGCAATGGTAGTCATTGGAAGACCCGAAAAGTTTCCAGAATATCAGTGCCAGGATGTTGGCGGCTGCATCTCGGTACATGTGCATCGTAGCAGAGGCCCTGAGCCGCAGGCATCGCTTGCATACTTAGCTTGACCAGTTAGTTGGGCTCCACATCATTGGCCCCGGGGTTGCTGCCTTCCATCCCTCACACAACGACACTAACGACGCATTGGGAGCTAAGGGCATCCCGGGCCATGCGCAGGCATGTCGTCATTGCAAAGCTTCATGTCGAGGTTTTCCACCTTTGATGCTTGCTGTTGTCACAGGCCTCCTCGAAAATAGATAGAGTTTCCCGGGTTTCGTAAAGGGATTAGATCACGTCAGCAATTTCCACTAAATAACTTTGCCCGCCCATCTCCTTTCCGTGCCACTGCGCTGCTTCACAGCCTTTGGCCTTAGGATCATCTGGGAGTTGTGACAATCAGGGCAGGAGCACTGGTGCCCGATTCTTGCAAGCCCATCTAGGACTTTTGTATACGACGTGTGCCAGGTGGCCAGACCAGTAGATGGATATCCAGGCTTCGAGACAAGGGCCAGCCAGCACACGTCTTGTCAAAGTGCATGAGGTTGTCAGACTCAACCTATGTCGACTGTCAGTGGGTCCTTACACAAGCAAGGTCAGGTAGAGTGTGTACAGATGGCTCACTCCTTGCATGCGCTCCCTCTCGCGCCTTGTTTTACCTGCTGGAAAAAGTGTCAACAGCATTTGCATTCCGGCTTGGCTGCTTTCGATGAAGCCGGCTTGTCACAACCAAGGGCTTTCTGGAGTTCCCCCTTTGAAGTTCCAAGCCGCTTCTCACACCAGAACAGCTCAGACATCCACAGAAGCTTGCGGTCAACAGCTAGCATGCGCTGAGCCATCCATGGGGTCTTGTGAATGCAGTTTGCGAATAAGGAAGCATGTGGACCTGTGTTTGTGGAAAATGCATCGCCCTGCGACCATGATGTCGTCCCACCTGCCATGCAGAGCGTCAGGGCAGTCCTTGGATTCGCCAGCATCACTACGGTGTGCTCAAGCGACGTGGTCCAGGCTTGGCAGGCAGCCCTGGAGACATGTGCAGCAGGAATTTGCGGAGTCAACCAAGTGGAGGACGTGTGGCTAACATGTCCAGTCCGGATTAGACAGTCCACCGTCTCGATCTCCATGCGCTTGGCACGGCAAGAAAACTGTATGTGGATGTCAGTGAGGGCACATGAAGGCACATGAAGGCACCTTGGCCTCTGCCTGCAAGCTCATCTTGCATACATGTGTCAGGAGACCGAGGCCACTGCCGCGCACTGCCAGCGCATACCAGTCGCATCAAGATATGGCGGTGCCTTAGACTGCACTGTGAGGAAATTGCTTTCTGCTCAGACATGCATGGCAAGACACTTTGACCGAATGATGTCGAATGAGTTGAATCATGGCTACACGTCCGGTTCTCCCACAGGTGCTGGCCGAACGACCCTGTTCGGACGCACCATCTGGTGCGCGGCAACGCTCGGCACAGGCAAGCAGGCTTGATCCCTGTGTCTCGGATCTTGCTTGTGACAAGACTGCAGGCACCACATTGGACCTCTTCGCTGGCTTTGGGGACACAACTGTTTTACTAGCAGACGGCCTGCATCAACGCCCGCCCGCTGCTTCTTCAGATCGACGCATCTTGACATTCGAGCTCAACGCGCAAAGGTGGGCGGCCGGGGGGGGGGGGGGGGGGNNTGGTAGGATCAGGACTAAACAGAAGCCCACCCATTTTTTGAATTTTTATTGCGCAGGCTCTCTACCGTGACCAGCAGACTTGCGGAGACTCAAGTTGCTGTGCGCGCTCTTGATGGCCGTGCTCAGCACCAGTGGCATGATGAGTTGAAACATGCAGACGGGCGGCAAGTGACCGCCCTCCTTGTCCACGGAAGCACTGCAGACAGCCTGCGGGCGGCATGCCAATACATAGAGGCCTTGCAAGCTGCACTAGCTTTTCGTTTTTTTCTGGGCAGACCGGGATGAGTGTCTTGTGGTAGTGTCCTGTTCTGCAGGATTTGGGCTTGGTCCTCCTTGACCCTGATGTCGAGATGGCATACCAGGACTTTGCAGATGATTGGCGAACGTTGCGTGGCACGTTTAATTGCATCAGCTTGGAGAACACCGAGTTCAGATGATTCAACTCGGAATCCCAATTCTCAAATAATGACATCACTTCATATATAGCAGAACAGGAGCACCAGGCTGATAGTCCATTCTCCAACGGTTGCTTGAGAGAGAGCAAGCAATGGTGGCCAGCATTCCTTGTGGCGGCCATGCGGGCTGAGGCGTGCAACATCATGTGATTAAGACTGTCACAGGCTGGAAGCTGCAAAGCCTCGCATGATCGCCATCTACAACACGAACTTGCCTGGAGGCAGACTGCTGTACTCCATCTGTGCTATGTGTGGATTTGATGGGGTTCTTCCTCAGAGCCCAAGCTTCCCGCAACGCTCGTAAGTGGATGGCCCAAAAGGTTCGGCAAGTGCTCGCTGCCGTACATAGGCTGGTTTCAAGAGTGTACTGTCAGATGAACAGCGCTAGGGACCGAATCATAAGATCTTTCTCGCAATTGCTATGGCGTGCCTGTCCCGAAGTGTGAGTGAAGGTGCGGGTTGGGTGCTCAACCGCCTGCTTGCTTTGGGGCAGTATGTGGAGGTGGCGCAAGGCTGCTCAGCGAACTTCATTTTTAGGCTGATCAGCAGTTGCAGCATGCAGGCCACGCTTCCAACAAATGATGAGCTCAGGCATTAACGATGGAGGTGCTGGTGAAATTGATGTGCCTCGCTGTAGTTAGCAAAGCTGAGGGTGTTGAGGGCCTGTCATCCCCAACTGGAAACATATAGTAAGATTTGTGTGGAGTCACCTCAGTTTGGCGTAGCCTGCGGTCTTCCGATCATGCATGTAGGCCTGAATGCCCAAAGCAAATGAACCGGCCAAACCGTGGCTAGCTGCCGCGATGCCAGTGTGCTAAAGGTGCACTCGGGCATGGTCCCCACATTGTAGTCAAGGCTACTGGATGGAGTCAATCAAGAGGGGGGCTTGCATGCTGCGCTGGCAGGTGCTTCACCAGATGCGAGCCTGGTCACTTCTGTTGCGCTTGTCGGGCGCTGCGCTGCCGACATCCTTGCTGGGTAACTCAACTTGCAGTAATCAGATGCGGGGCTCAAGCTCCGTCGACAACAGATGCTGCCTTCAGGGGCATCACAGGCAGCACTGTGTGGCTGACGGTGTCCAACCTTTCTGCAAGATGAATGAACTGAGGTGAGAGGATTCTGCAGCCAGCCCAAAGACAATCAAAGCCCGCGAGGGTCATTCAGAAAGAGGTTGCCCCGTGCTTCAGCAGACTCCAGCTGAATTCCTTCAACGCTGAAGGTGCTAAGCTTCGATGGCGAAACCATTCGCATGGCTGGCCAAGAAGCCAAGGAGCCTTCCAGGTTATCAACTCGCACGGACCTGGTGCGCAGGGTGCGCATGGCAGATCACTGAATGCGAGCAGCACGTCGCAGCATGCGCGCCAGCAAAAGCTTGCATTGCCTTGCTAGCATGCTCGCTTGTAAATGGATTGCCTCGTCATGCCTCGTCTGTCCTTGAGCAGGGTCAGCATTTCATAGGCAAGCCAGAATCGAGTTAGCTTCCTGGATTCTCTTCGCATTCTTGATTCGGCCCTGCCACCTTGACGAGCAGGAGTGGATCCAGGAGAAGTTGCAAGAGGGCTATTCCTGGGGCAACACCACTTTCCGAGCAGCCTCCTGTCCGCATTTTGCATCATCCCCAGGCGTGTCTTTCATCACGCATGGTAAAGTAAAGCAAGATAACTCAAAAAATGATTAAACACATTGCCTTTGGGCAGAACACTTGCACAGCACGTGCAGAGATGTTGCTCGTTGACCGCTCACACAAGGTCCGGGGCGGGGAGGTACTCCGAGTTCATCGCGAGGTTGGAGACATGGTGCCTGTGGAAGTCCAGCGCCCGAAACTCGGCCTTCAGGTCCAGAGCAAGCAAGCCTCTTGAAGCCGTAGGGCGCCCCTTCCGCTAGGCAATTGCGTGTCCTAGATAAGCCGAGCAGGGCCCAGCTAGATCGTCTGACTTTGCTTTGTTTCCTTTCGACTTTCCCGTTTTGTAGGCCAGCGCAGGGTCTGACGTCCTCTAAATTGTCGTCGCGGCATGCTGGAGTTCACTCGTCAAAGCAATCCTGTTGTCTGGAGTCAGATGCTTAGTTTTCCTTGTTGCTTTCAGTTGCTTGGTACTATTTGGTACTGAAATGCTTGCATTCGCTTCGGAGTTGTTCCATTCCCTTGAAGTGGCAGATGTGAGAGTAAGAACTGGAGACCTTCGCAACACCTCTTCTCAAAGCAATCTTGGCAGGTTCAGCATGCATGAAATGTTCCGAAAGGCTAGAGCATTGAGCCCTGTGCCCCGGCTTGAACATGCATGAACCTGAGGACCGACGAACTTCTCTTACCACCGGGTCAGGAAACAAATGTCCACCACTGTCTCGCTGACGCAGACCCGCTTCTCAGCTGCACTTCAGCTGTCAACATGCAAGATTGAGCTACACAGGGGGCGAGTCAGATCATGCGCCAGGACTGCTCAAGAAGGCTTATTCTGAGATTTATGGATCGGCTAAAACACGTGTGCTCGACTGAGTTTACATGCGAGCTCCGGCTGAGGGTTCAAGCGTTGGCGTCGTGATCAGCGAAGAAGCTTGAACCAAGGTGAGATCAGTCTGACTTTAGCATAGGCCCCAAGCAACCTTGAATTTACCAGCCTACTCAGTACTGTACGGACCCATGCGTCTAACATGCCCTTACTTGAATACCCCCGATGAGTCACACGAACACGACCATTCTGTGATTAGGCTGGCTGCTGCTCGCCAGCTTCGCACACCGTGCTTTCTCAACTGCAACTCGCTTACTATGATGCGCTTCCTTTCTGGCATGGAACTTATTATGGCTTATGATAGAAGCCTGGTCTTGAAGCCCGCGAATTTCGCAGACCAAGGTGAGGGCCCAGACTTTGATCCTCCCTGGGGCATTTTTCGCAGAGAAGTACGCAGCTCAGATTAACTGAAGGATCCGCGCGTGCTTCTTCAAGAAGTTTTGAGAACAAGCAGATGGGCTCGATGGACGCCATCATCGTAAGCACGAGTCCCAATGCGGCCCATCATTCCCCAGTCTCATCTCAGCTTTTATCCGTGCATGCCTGAGGTGTTGGAGCAGGCTCTTCAGGATTACCCACTGAATGAAGAGATCATACTGCAGGCTGCGCGGGTTGTCGCCAAACTGAAAGTGTGTGTTTCCTGCTGGGTGGGATCCTAGCTCAGGGGATGCTGGACAGCAAATGCAAGCTGCTTGTTGTGCATTAGTCGTGGTAAGGGCCTTGTAGGCTTCTGCGATCAGCCGCGGCATTGTTGAGAATGATGAGCTCCTTATCCGTGGGAGATCACTGTTCTTGGCTCGCTTGCGCCACGAGTGCCTTCCCTCACAATGTTGCGTGTGTTCCCTGATGTTGACAGGGCTCTATAGACCTCTAGGCCAGCGCCAAGGCAACACGCAGAAAGCCTCCTCGACACTCGGAGTTCCTGATCTGGGTAGACTCAGCCAAGGTACACACATGATGGCCATTTGGAGGGCTTCTGCCTCTATGGTCTTGCTGCTGCGGCCTTTGTGCGTGGACGACAAATGTTAGATATGCAGCCAAGCACGTTTGAGTCGCACGGACGGCAGATCTTCGCACCCAGAGTCGGATTGCATGACATGGATACAGTAGCGGGGAATGCAGATATTAGGGCACTCCATTTTGCCCGCAATTTCCCATTTTTTCAGGACGTGCATATGCTACTTTTGCAGTCCAGAACTTAGCGTCCAATAGCATGCAAAGGCATTCACCCTTGTCAGCGACTCCGACAGCAAGGGTGGTGTGGAGTTCAGCTTCTTGGAGAACACTGGCTGGGCGATGTCATTGGAAGACGTCGTCACAAACTTGGAGCTCCAGAACCTTGCCTTGCCACCTGTATTCCCAAGGAAACGCATGTTCTAGCGAAGTTTCAACCATCTCAAGGTAGGCAGCCATAGATGGTGGCAGACTAAGGAAGGCTAATTTGGGCCAGCCATTCCAACGGCACCAGCCCGGGCAATGGCCAAGACCTGAGCACTCAGAGCAGCTGCCAAGACACGTATGCTTTACTTCTAGCTGCCATGAACTGCGATGTGACCGCACAATAGCCCAATCTTCTTGACATGAGCCCGGTGTGCGCATAAGTGTCTTGTCCAGCATAGACTGCGTGGTCCTGCCAACTCGCCGACGTGCTTGCTAGCACCCGCCATCGTCAAATATTTGGACACCTTGTCTAGCGGGCTCATCCAGCAAAAGCATGCAAATGCATCCTTCAAGGAGTATATCTGCAGGAAACCATGATGCATGCTGTCACTACGCCGCACACTTCCGCGCGCACAGCCATGGCAACCCAAGCTGAGTTTAATGCACGGAAACAACAGATTTTGACATCACTCGACAGGAGTCCCAAAGGATCGGTGGATGCACCAATCCTTGACTTTATCCACTGGCTGAATGCTCTGCAAAAGCTTGTGACGACGTCTTCATGCAGCGGTCGCATTGCAATTTTTCATGGGTCAGCGGATGCCTCAAACTCCAAAGGTGGTGAATGGCTGATGATCAGCCATGAGACTCTGCCGGATGCACAAAAGGCATGGAGAGAGTTGTGTTCTGCATTGGATGCACATGCTGGTGCAGCATCTGACGGCACGCTGACCTCGCTGCTGTTGGAGCCGTTCGTCCTACACGCAGAATGCGCCGATGTAGCCACAGCTCAGCAGATTTTGGGTGTCGCAAGGGATTCCGGATTTCGTGAGAGTGGGGTAAGCTTGGGTCGCAAGCGCGTGACAGTGCAAATCCGCACGGTGGCCATGCGACTCGAAGTTCCACTTGCGCTTAACGCATCCCTTCTAGTGGATTGCCAGTACTTTCAAAGCTTGCTGATGCTTGCAAACAGCCGCCTCGATGAAAATGCTGCACGTGTGGCACGCTTATGGAGGAATCTGCGAGAGGCCTTGGCTGCGAGCCCGCAGCCAGCCGGAGAGCCTTGGATTGTAGTCTGTCCTCAGGCATGTGCCCGGTCTATAAAGTTGGCTTTGGAAGCCCGGGGCTGGCTGGACGAATCGCGAAAGATGCAGAATTACGAGGCTGAAGCCGCAGAAGCGTGCAGATCGATTGGCATCCCTCTGACGGAGGAGGCTGCAGAGGCATTGCTAGCCATTGCGGAAGCTGCTTCGGAGGAGGCGGAGGAAGTCAGCCGGGCGGCTGCACCAAACGGAGTTGCGGCCGGCGCAGACCGGGAATTGACAGAAGCGTTGCCCGACAATGGCTTGGAAATTGATGCGGCCGCAGCAAAGAAAAAACGTCCTCCAACGGTAGCTGCAAACTTGGATGAGCTCTGGAGACAGCGGTATAGCGAGCTGAAGGTTTTGCAGAGCAACGCGCTTCCTCAGAAATCGAAACCTTCTGGAAGCACCCGCATGTCTCTGACAGATCAGGCCAAGATAGGGGAGGCCATCCAGTGTCTAATCCAAGAGCTGACCGCCCAAGGTCATGCTGCGGCTTTCGACCACATTCTTCAGGATGTTCGCAAGCTGCCTGCGCTCCAGTGGCGTGGGGATGTTGCGCTGCTCCCACGGGGTAGCTTGACCGGCACAGAGTGGGATAATTTGGAGCGGTCTGCAGAAGGCGTGAGTGGAGGCTTGTGGGAGCGCGTGAGGACAGCTGTTGATGCCCGGCTCCTGTGTCGGCAGCAGGAGATTCGCGTGGACGACGTGGTGCGCGGAGGCAACGTGCAGGTTTTGGCTGGCTCTGGAAGCGGTTGGGTACTGGTGCCTGGGCCAAAAAGCGTGCGCTACGCATTCGACATTACGAAATGCATGTTTTCAGAAGGCAACTCCGCAGAGAAGGAGAGGGTGGCCTCATGGCCAGTGGAAGGAGAAACCGTTCTGGACATGTACGCGGGCATTGGCTTCTGGACGCTCCCACTTCTAGTGGCTGGAGCAGCGAGTGTCATCGCATGCGAGTGGAATCCGGATGCCTTAGCTGCCCTTCACGAGGGCCTTCGCCTGCTTGGCGCTGCATTAAGTGCACGCTGTAAGGTGCTTGCTGGAGACAATCGCAGAGAGGAGGTCATCGAAGAGACATGTGGCAGATGCCACCGCGTTATTCTGGGCCTGATTCCATACAGCCGCGACGGCTTTCCCGTGGCCGTGAAGGCCTTGCTCCCTGCAGGTGGCTTGCTGCACGTACACTGGAATGCTGCCGTGGATGCAGAGGCAGCTACATCACAGGAGGTGGCCAAAGAGGTGCAGGAGCTCCTGCAGAAGATCCGCGGGCCAGATTGGCGAGCTGATGTCGTTGGCATTCAGCGCATTAAGTCTTTCGCTCCGCGTGTAAGGCACTTGAGGATTGATGTGCACTGCCGACACCAACCCTCTCCGGAAGATATTTGAGAGGTCCATTGTGATGGAATCTTGCCAGATGGACAGCACAGCGGCAGCGCTGCCGCCCAGAGGAAAAAGTTCCGAGAAGCCACAGCTGATTGCATGTTCAGTGGCATTTTCTAAGGAACAACCTGCATCAGCGTGAACCTGTGAGCATGGCAGGCAGGGGCCAGAGCCTTAAAAAACTCGCAGCGCCGAGCAAAGGGTCCACTTGCACACGAAGACCCCCTTGCGAGATGAGCATCACGGAAAAGTTGCCTTCAACCAGGTAAATACTAGGTGTCCAAAGAGCACAGCCAATGCCCTATGCCCTAGCGAACGAGTAACTGAAGGACAAACTGAGACTTGTCCAGTCGTAGTGAGGCCGTTCTAGCATGTTCTAGCTAATCTTGCTATGCGAACTTTCACAATAAGTTTCAGGGATGAACCCGCACAGTGGCTTTCAAGGCTCAATCCCCACAGTTCACATATCATGCTGCCTTCGAGATCCGGTTCCTTTCACCAGTTCATGTCACATTGCAATCCAACAATGGGGCCTGTTCAAAAACCAACTTGGGAGACTTGGAAGAACCACAGCTCTGAGTAGTGGCATTACAAGTCAGTTTTTTCAACCTACACGATGGGTGCTGGTAGCCTGATCAGTGGCAGCATGAGAATACTCACAAAACATTGAAGCTGGAAATACGTCTGGGCGAGAGAGCTACTACAGTAGCAGCTCATCTACTCGTAGGACTTCTTGGGGGAAACAGACACCCCAGCATGATGGAAGAAATCTTGCACAACCTTAAGTCCTGGATTCAATCCCTGGGAGGTACACTGCTTCAGGGACCTTGCTTATAAGAGGGTGGTCAAGATTTCATAAATATTACAGTAATCCCCCACAGCTGGACATTCTTGCAAGGCAGCGGAGAAGCTTCTATTTAGGTTTTTCATCAAACACAACCGGCTGGGAGCCTTGACAGACACGGGAAATGTCCGCAGGTCGTTGGATGCGCGGTCACCCAAATTCACAGCCACATTTCCTTCAGCAAGCTGCGCACATTCGCCTGTGTGGCATAGGCCTGGCGGGCACTTGCGGGGTGTGGCCGGGCACAGGGACGATGGGGAATGAGATAGAATGAGCACTCACCGCAAAAGTGCCCCGTGACTGTCAGGGGATCATCTGACTGCCACCTTTGATGCCGTCCTGATTGTGCAGAGAAGTCTGGAGCTTTTCCTCGGGCAGCGACAGGTCCAGCGAAGCTGTTGCTGCACTTACGGTTCGTAGACGAGTGGGGTGTTGCAGGCATCAGGTTGCGCGCGTATCCATGCACTGCCATTGCAGCTTTGTATATTCTTTGCTTTATTGAATGCTAGGATTTAGAGTTTGTGGTCTTTAGTAAAGAGTAGGATAAATGAGAGCTCGGGTTCTACGGTTTATGAGGGAGGGGGATTCAACGACGTGTGGAGTCAAATTGGGAATGAGGTACGGGGTTCTCATACTATGCTGACTTTATTCGCGCGTATATCCATCCATCTATTTACGTATATAGCTGCTTATCCACCAATCTATATATAATATCTGTATCGTATATCCGTCTGCATATACATGTATACAAACATTTTTGGATGTTATATGAACGCAGATTCAAAACAGAAAACGTAGGCCTGTGACCTTGTCTGGCCAAGAACCCCTTGAGCCCATCACAGCATGAGCTTCAAACCAAGTTTATGCTCGTATTGCTCACCGCACTTTAACTCTGTTCTCACATGAAATTCAATCATGTAGCCATGGCAAGTACGGACCTCACCACAGCTAGTGGCACAGGGTGTTGCAGCCAGCTCCATGCCCAGGAGATTTTCTGGGCCGCTACTGTCCGAGGCACACTGGACAAGGCCCGACAAGCTTCTCAGATTGCAGGCATCAGTTTTCCCGCCGTCCATGGGGAAGACTGCTGCTCAGATTTGCAGTCCTCAAGTCGCCCGTTCCTATGGCGCCGCTTGTCCGAGCTAAGTTAACTCATTATTCGGATTTTGCAACATTTCCACTATGTCGCCCTTTACGGTACATGGACCTTCACTATAAGAGCCTTGAGTTGTTGCATTTTTCAAGGAAGGCTATAAATATGTTGGGATCCCCCTGCAACCCCCAGAGCCCTTGCATGACCAATCTGACAGTCTGACATGGTTGAAAGAGCTGGAGCAGTGCACCTGGGGGTTTGCATGATGTGCATGCCTTCTTGAATGGTGCTCGAAGAGTAGTCAAACCTGAGACTGGGGTTTCGAGCTGCTTGCAACCTATCACAAGGTTGCAGTACAGAGTTTTGAGAAGGAATTCAAGAAGTGGAAAACTCAAAATTCACACAAAATTTCCAGGCATAAAACCAAAAGCTGTATTTGCTTCCGGTCCCCTATCCTGTTCGATTTTGTTTTATGCTCTCAGGGTTTCTCAGTGGGTGTTTCTCGCATCCCTCATTTGAATTCCACTTATCCTGGTGTCTGCCTGAGCCTGGCCTTGTGCAGGGCCTGAACTCCTGCAGACCACCCAATAGGGTCTGGAGCAAAAGATCCTACGCAGTCCTCAAGTTTGCGTGGGTATTGGATGTTTCTTAGCACCGCGCAACCTTCCGCCACATTTCATTCTCGCTCCTTGTGCCGTTAGGGGCGGCACTCCAGGGCTAGTGGTGAGCAGGGGCAATGGCGGGCCGCCAGGGTAGTCGTGAACCCTTTTGTTTGCGGATTTGGAAGATGGAGAACTCTTGAGCAATTACGCCATGGGTGTCAGAGACCTGACAACAACAGCTAAGCCAGGTAATGCATCAGGTTCCGCATGGCCCTGCCATGCATACCTGGAGAGGCTTTAGAGAAGCGTAATCGTCCGATGGTCTCTTACAGTTTGGCATTGAAGGGAGGCGTTTTGCAAGACTCATAGGTGCACTTCGCGAGGACACCAGTGCAGACAGCGCTGTGAACTTCTCGGGTCTGGCTGTGATCAGGAGGCCGCAAGGCGGCAATTTGCAACAGCATCCATGGAACAAGAATGCAAGGATCAACTGTCTGGCTTTTCTTACATGAAAGGAGAGGCTGAGCCATGTCCGTATGACCCGTTTTGCAGAGTTTGCCAGCGGCGTGCATGCCAACTCCACACAAAGAAAATCAGAAATGCTGCTGAGGAGGATGCTGATCCAGTCGCCGATTGGTTGGACGGGATCATCCATCCGGAGTCACTTGACGAACTTCCTTGGGACCTGGACGAAAGGCGTGCAAACATGCACATACGAATTGAGAGCTTGATGCGCCGAACTGTCACGGCTATATGCTGAAGAGACTTTGAAGAGATCCTCAATGCCTTACACATCTCCGACAATTACATTTTTGCTGCCGGTAGCCTCAACACTGCCCCATACGCATAGCTTGCTATTTACACGCCTGGGGGAAGGCAGACCTCACCGATTCATGATTCATATGATGCACTTCCTGCATGGTGTTTTTTATTCGGCGCTACTGGAACATGCCATGACCTGCGTACTGGGCACTTATCATGATCCCTTCGGCGCACAGAGTTTGCAGCGTACACACACGCACGCACACTCACTAACAGATTCAAGACCTAAGCAGTCAGCATGCCCGGATTTCTTTGGGTTGTTGTCGGCACGTGCCCAGTGTTTGAACCATTTCCACGACAGGGTCGGCTCACCTAGCGCCCTTATCAAAGCGCCCAAATCCCTGACCAATCGCGCTTTTGGTCCAGGAGGCATGCCTTGGCGCAGGCGAGCGCCAGAGAAGTGAGGCTGTGGCAATTCTTGTCATACATCTTGACTTGATACGGGCGGCATCAAAGATGGTGCCTACACACCTTTGCTTATCTTGATTGGTTGGGTCAGCTCTTCGCAACCAAGCGGGGGTTCAGAAAAGTAAAGACCCGAAGCCTGACTAGGCTGCAGATGGCAGACGTGGTGGTTTGTTCGCACCCAACATTGCTTTGCATTTTTATGGCGGAGGCCAGCTTGGAGAAAGTACAGCTGGGATTTTGCTGCATCAAAAGAAGCTTTCACAGCAGTCTCGCAGGTTCTCCCGAAGCCCATCGTAGTTCACGCCTCGTCGACGTTACTTTATGGGGTGCATTGTCAAGACTGCAGCCAAGTGGCATGGTACACAAATTTGCGCCACTATGGTGGTGCTCTTCCCGCGCAGAGGCAGATGCGCGGAAGTGTTCCATGCTGATTAGACAGCTCCTGAGATGAACAAGTTTGGCACTCGGCTTTCAACTGGGCAGGTATTTGGAGCTCACACGGCAGAACCTTCTGCAGAACCAGGACTTGGTCTTCATTGCGGAGGGACGCTTCCTGGCGGAGCAGGTCCAGCACCAGGCTGGGACCCTCAAGGGTGAAGCAGCGAAGCAACTGATGTCGCACAGTCTGATCTGAGTTAACAGACATGCACCTTGCACATCAGGGAAAAGCTAGCAGCATCATACCATGTTGCATCCTGAAGTGCTGCAAGCAGGTGAGAGTGGACATTCCATGGGTGCCACCATTGGCCCTTTACACCGCTGCAGGGAGCTGGCAGGGCAGCCGCTCTGGAGACCGACGTGCCGTTGTTCTGAGGTGGGCTGGCAGTTTGGCAAAAGTCTGAGGAAAGGGTCACCTCACGATCTACGATGGTCCAGGAGAGCAGTGTAGATGAAGCTCAGAAAGGAGTCCAGAGCACAGTCATGGTAGGTTTTGCTGTTTAGGGCCGGCATCCAAAAAAAAGGGCTCGGTCATGCCAGCTAAATTTGCGACAGCTCATGCATCCAGATTATGCCGTAGACTCGAAATAGTGGAAGACCATGTCATGAATACCCCGTCAGCACTGCAAGAGCATAGGTCAAAAAGATATACGCGGGAGGAGGATCGCCAGCACGGCAAGAGTACATGTCCAAAGCAACACTCAATCAAGACAATTCGTGATTGGGATTCCAACATGTCAATCAAGTTCAGTCATGTGCTGGCTTTCACATGTCAGGCATGTCAATTCTGTCCCAGTTTGTGTTGAGTTGTGCTGACTTTTTGTTGGCTAAGTTGTCATGCACATTTTCAACAAAACTTGCCAAACCAAGTTGAAGAGCCTTGAGTACCAGATTGGTTCCAGACGACCCAAAGAGCTTGATGCTCTTGTGATACACCAACTGTGCGTGGTAAACAGAACGTGGACGGCTGCACAGGTGTGCAGAAGGGCGGAAAATAGCTAGTACCTAGAATCTCCACATTTCATCGTGTGCAGCCATGATGCTTAGCTGTGGAGATGTGGTGCCGGGCCAGTGAGGCAACATGAAAGATTGTTTGTTCAGCACATCAAGAACCTAGGCCCAAAAGTCAAAAGAGTTGGAAGCTACAAGGGTCATTGAGGTTTGCAAGGTGACGACAATTGCCAGGACCGTGACACTGAACACGCAAGCATTCGCACAGAGGGGCTAACGAGCGGATCCAGCCGTGTGCGAAAAGGTTCGGGTACCAATTTGCAACCCATATCATTTTCAGATTGTTTGGGTAACAAGCTTTCAGATGCAGGTCCCGATTCTTCGTGTCCCTGATGGGCGAGCTGCTGCGCTCGCTTCTCCGCGAAATTGTGTCCATCAACTTACCGAAGCATCCACTCGAGGCAGAGAGAGAAAGTGCAGCCAGCACTCTTCAACTGTGTACCCCTGAACTCACTCAGAAATTGCGGCATTTTGCAGACAGCAGTGAGTATGCAGCATGAAGTCAGCAAGCGCTAACCTCAGTAACCATTCGACTTCCAAATCTCTTGATGAGTGGCAAAGCCCCGTGTGCAGAACAAAGCCTGCTTGCACAACACAGACGCAGAATGAATGGGAATTCCTACTGTTGCCTGGCATGCGTTGATTTCGGAGGTGGTCTTCCTTGGGAAGGATAACCAATTTGACGAGCAATGGCTGTCCCTGCAACAGTTGGCCAGCAAGCAAGCTGCATTTGGTGTTGTTACTTTGCATTTGCTTAGCGGCTCTGCGCTGATTTTGTATAGATGAACCTTCTGATATCTGGGGAGCTTGTGGTTTGGGCTGGATGTTGCACTGTGTCGGTGAAGCGATGCAATGGGTCAGCATCATTTAGGGCTGGCAAGCCAAGCCTCGCGCCGCAAAATACATCAGCATCATCCTGACAGTTATTGGTCGCTCCACATTGAAAAGCACTTGCAAGCGCTGCATGCCGGCCGCTGCACGCATGGGGGGCAAGCTGGGCGCAGCAGAACTTTCAATGCTGGGTTGGAGCGAGATTCGGTGCCAGGGCAGGTACTTAATTCGTTTTTCTAGAAGCAACCGGGACAGCCCTAGGCCGTGTGGGAACTTATGAGCTGACTTTCGAAAGCTTGCCTGCTGTATGCGCTGGTGGCCGCTGGTGGCCAACCCCAGCCAAGGCTTTGATGTAGCCATCCTTTGGCCAAACGACTTGCACCAACGGACCTTCCATGAGGCTTACCGCTGCTCGTCTGCAATTTGATTGCTGTGTTGGATATGAGAACGTGACATGAGTTTTGCAGGCCTCACAGACTTCCATCACCAAGTGAGCGCCAAGGAATGGCTCTTCCCTTGCTAATGCCGGACTCAGCTTGCCTCTTCAGAGCACAGCGTATGTCCAACTGGGGCTACGCATCCTATGGTGCAAACACCGCCACTTGGACGATTCGGCTTTCGCTGGAGACCTTTCATGTTTTGCATGCTGACCTGCGGCGACTGTGGCTTATGCCCCTTACATAGGATGAACTACAAGCCCGGCAAGCCTTGGGTTCAAGTACGTTTGTGTATGTTTTTGTGGCTTCCGCAAATGCTTCAGCCTGAAGGTCGGTCTCGACGTGGCTCGCGCCTCTACATCTAGGTCAGAACCGTCAGAACGCAGGGCTGCAACGCAGGGTGAGAGAAGATGCAGGAGGAATAGGCATGACATAGACAGAGACAAGCTCGGCCTGCCAGCCACACACAAATTATCAATCCTGATCTGATTGTGAAGTAGCAAGCCCTGAGGCATCCTTTCCCACCTTGGTGGAACTCCTTTAATGCCACGCCAAACATCGTTTCGTACTGGGCACAGTTCGCAGACTGGGAGCAGCTGCCCTACATCCAGCGCCGCTCAGCATTTTCATCAGCATGTCACCACTCGAGGAAGTTGAGCATCGGCTGAGGCTTCGCCACACTGCCAGGTCTAGTTGTGCAAGCTTTGTCTATGGACTTGGCGCACATCAGCTCGAAGATGCTGGCGCATCATCTGCAGGTTGCTAAGGACGGGCAGCGGGTTGCTGCGAATTAAAGGACCGGAGAACCCCACATGTGTAGCTTAACCTGAATATAAGTGAGATGATATTAGGATGCCGTCGCCCGCCGAAAAACTGAAGAGCAAGAACATGAGACGATACCTAGGGAGATGATTCTCTGAAAAATCTCAGGGGGACACTGCTTGCAATTTGAGATTTGGGGAGATGATTCTCTGAAAAATCTTGGGGTGACACTGCTTGCGATTTGAGATTTGGGGACATAATTCTCTGGAAAATTGCAATTTGAGATTTGGGGAAATGACTCTTTGAAAAATCTTAGGGGAACACCCCTTGCAGTTTGAGATTTGGCGACTTGATTATCTGGAAAAAGTCTTAGGGGGACACCCCCTTGCCATTTGAGATTTGGGGAGATGATTCATTGAGACATCTTAGGGGGACACCCCCTTGCGATTTGAGATTTGGTGAGATGATTGCCTGAAAAGTCTTAGCGGGACATTGCTTGCGATTTGAGATGTCGGGAGATGATTCTCTGAAAAATCTTAGGAAGACACCCCTTGAAATTTGAGATGCGTGGATTTGGTTATCTGAAAAATCTTCGGTGGATACCCCTTTGCGATTTATGATTTGGGGACTTGATTCCCAGAAAAATCTTAGGGGGACACCCCCTTGCGATTTGAGATTTGGGGACTTGATTTTATGCAAAATCTTAGCGGGACACCCTTTGCGAGTTGAGATTTGGGGTGATGATTTTCTGAAAAATCTTAGGGGGGCAGGTTGTGGGCTCTTTCTGCTTTAGCAGACGCAGTACTGGCATCCAGGCTACCAAAAATTTTTTTGTAACACCATTGTTTTTGGTAGGGATTCTTAGGTTGTGTCTGTTGAGAAGTGGCATTGTTCAGTAAGGTGTTGAAGTGCGACAGATGTTGACGTGGAAGTGTGTGTGGTAGGTTGTGGGCTCTTTCTGTCTTAGCAGACACAGCCCTAAGAATCCAGGCTACCAAAGCATGTTTCTGTAAAATCATGTTTTTGGTAGCCTGGATTCATAGGGTTGTGTCTGTTGAGAGGTGACATTGTTCAGTAAGGTGTTGAAGTGACGATGTTGAGGTGGAAGTGTGTCTGGTAGGTAGTGGGCTCCTTCTGTCTCAACAGACACAACCCTAAGAATCCTTCTAAATCTCTAGTAGAGATATGTGGGGGCCCCCATATAGGAGGCCCGAAACCCTTAGTTTTGAGTATGTATGTATTTATGTATGTATGTATGTATGTATGTATATTTATACACATGTAATGAAAAGACGAATTTTGAGGATGCAGCGCATGGGAGCGCGATTTCTGATGAAAAGACGACGAAATTTTACGGATGCTCCACACGGGACTGCAATTTTCTTCAAAACTTTTCAGGACGCCCCGCACAGGAGCGCGATTCTGAACGAAAAATCGACGAAATTTTGAGGATGCTCCACACGGTAGCGCGATTTTATTCAAAATTTTCAGGACGCGGTGCGGAACGCGATTTTCATCAAAAATTTCAGGATGCTCCGCACGGAAGCGCAATTTTCTTCCGGATTCTCAGGATGCTCAGCACGGGAGCACGATTTTCCTCAAGATTTTCAGGATGCTCAGCACGGGAGCGCGATGTAAATCGAAGAAGTCGACGAACGACCACTCACTGACTACCGGGATACTCCGCTCAAGAACGCGACTTTGAACGAACAAACTGACAAAGTTTTGAGGATGCTCCGCACAGGAGCGCGATTTTTCAACATATAAGGATCAAAAAAACGCGAAAAAATCCGGACGTCTCGCACGGGAGCGCGATTTTTGGAAAATCGGGGCGCGTCCAACTCGCACCGGAGTCCCCTACAGCAAGACTAATTTAAAAGGAGAAGAAGTTTAAATTGAGAGATTATGACGTCATGAAACGACGAAATTTTGGATGCTCCGCACGGGAGCACGATTTTTAAACATTTCAGGATCAAAAAACGCAAAAAATTCAAATGGTTCGCACAGGGGCGCGGTTTTTGAGTAAGCAAAATCATGAATTTGAGGATTTCCGGCATGCGAGCGCAATTTTTGAAAAGCGTCCAATTTGCACCGGGGTCTCTATCGCAAGACTGATTGAAAAGGAGAACGAGCCACTTTTCAAAAATTCAACTTCACAAAACGACGATTTTTGAAGATGCCCTGAGCGAGAGCGCGATATTTGAGCGGAAAAGGGCGCGTCCAAAATGCTTGCGCAACGGAAGAGCACGCAAGTATGGCGGGCGACAGCACACCAAACAATTAGAACCCCACCATGAGTGTGGGGAATAATAATAATCCTCAAACTCAAGTAAAAAATTGCTTGCTTGTATCAGTACCTGCTAGTGTGCACATGCTGGTACAAACAACACTGGGAAATCTTGACTGGCTCCCCTCAGGCTGCCCTGGACTTGGTCTCTAGGCAGACCGCTTCGCTTGGCAGCAGGAGCTCAGGCCAGCCAAAAGAACTGCAAAGAATCGGCATGCTAATGATGCCACGCAGCTGCCACACATGAGCATGATCACGTTGCAGGTCTGTGGAAAGGCAGAGTAAGGCAGAGTATGCACGCAAGCACTTGTCAGGCTACTTGTTTTTTGGACGCTGCCTTGGAATCTCAAGTTAGCAGGTATCTCAAGCAGAAGCATGCAGAAGCACGGTGGGCCATCTCTGGCCTCGCGCACGTAAAGCCTCGCAATCCAGTGCGCCCAGAGACCGAGCATCCCCAAGGGCTTTCTGTCACAGCTACACGCCCATCAGCAAGCAATAGTGCTGGCTAGGCGAGGGCGTGGTTGCTGGAGATGATGATTATGATGGTGATGATGCACCAATTTTTACGTGTTACTTACAAGGCCCGAGCTTCCCCACACTTTGGTGCGGTGCCCTCGATCGCATTTCCCTGAGCTGTCCATGTCTTCACATGAACACAGACGGCTTCACCTCACAAGGGCGGCCAAGATCAATTTGCTACTTGGCTTTCGTCAGCTTCGCAGGTTGAGCAAAGGAAAGCCTTGAGTCACGCAACTCCTTTCGCATAGCCCTGGCTTCTGGCGGCTTTGTCGCCGCGATCCTTTGCAGGTTCTGGGCCTTTGCCACGGGGCAAGGTGCTCATGTCGCTGATGAAGGGCTCTTCTGCAGTCACTTGGTCCACCAGCAGCCAACGCTAGAACATCGGCCTAGACGAACGGGATGGATATCGATCGACAGTGAAGTCAAATCTATCATTGGCGTAGACCGTCCCCTCACAAGCATCCTGACCATACAGTATACGGCAAACAGTGCTGCAAATATCCGCAAATGGTTGTGAAAGTTGACAACAAGGGCTGCAAGTCTGCCCACGCCGGTGTGCTGAGCAAGTTGTTGCCAAGGTCACGGCATGACGCAGGCAGAGCCGCTGGCCTCAAACAAATGAGGGATTTAGCGTGGCATTACAGGACAAAAGAAATGAGATCGCGTGCAAATGTACCTGAGATCTGCCGCTGCTCATGCGTTGGTTGCATTTCTTCAACTCAGATGCCTACAACATCTTCCCGCAGAGTCGAAAGCCCTGGCCAGCTTCATGCAGGTAGGTCGGGGAATTGCACGCAGGCAACAAGTCAGTCATGACATATCAGAAGCAAGTCATCCAAGATGTTGGTAAGCCAGTCTGCAGTTTGGGCAGTATAAGTTTGGAAGCATGGCCATGCATGGCACCAATACTGCCCCTCAGTTTTTTAGCGCGATTCTAAACAGGATGTATAGTAGGTATATTGTGTATGGGGGGAACCTTGCAGCGAGGTATATACTTGATTCAGGGGCCCCCAGGCCTGAGGACCCCTACCGGAGGACCATGGCTTTAACCTCAGAAGTTGAAAAGTGCTTTACTGCCTGGCCGCACATCTCAAAGGCTCTCTCTTTGGGGAGGCTGCACACTTCAAAACTACTCACGCATGAGGCCTTTGTAGGAGAGCTGAAGCATCCTGACCTGTGTAGCCTGAGGACTATCTTCCCTCGGAACTTGCCCTTGACCTGTATTGTCTGGTATACTGTCACTCTGCCAGGAGCTGCTGAATACCCCGGTGCCCCAGCCAGGTGACTTGGCATCCTCTTGCACTGTATTGGGGGGTTCGGATTAATAGGCCCACCCGCACCCGGATTCACCCCAAATAAATAGAGGATTCTGACTAGTCCAGGGCCGTCCGATCAAATTTCGGCACACTTGAGTGGGGAGCCTCAGGCCCTGTCTATTAAGTTTCCATGGTCGGGGTCAATTCCGGTTCTCACGAAAGTTCGCACTATTCTGTAACCACTATTATTCTGTTCGCTCTACGAACCCATTCATTAGTTCCATGTATTAATCACTACCCAACATTAGCCGTCGGTTGGTTGAAGAAGAGATCTTCTTAAATGTGTTGCAGGGCCGTTTTGGATTGTTTCTGACAAATGTTTGAGGACCCTCTCAACTGGTTCTGCTTTGGGGTCCTAACAGGAGCGCTAAAGAAGACGTAGATTGCCAATTTTCTACCCACCGCTTGTGCGTGATTTTGCTGTGGTGGTTTTATGGGGTCTCCAGCAGACGGAGGCGGCCCAGCATCATTAGCATCATTGCTCCGCAGTTTCAGAGATTAAGCAGGGTGCCGCATGACTCAGGAACTCAGTATCCCAACAGAGTCAAGTTGCAGTTCTTGGGCTCGGTAGGTAGCAGGCTCGAGCGGCAACAAAATGTGGCTTTATGCTTCACGCGGATGTAAACCAATGCCGCCAATGCCACAAGCTCTCCAGGTTCATTCAAAGGTCGCGGAATCGTCATGAGCGGAGGTCCCCAGCATGTGCTGCAGGCTGGAAGCTCCGGGCAATGTCCGGTGGCATGCATTGCACAAGACGTCATGAGTTTAGACAATATCTTGAGTCAGTTCATTCTGTTTTGCCTGGCTGCCAGGCCATGGCGAATCTAGAGGTGCTGCGCTCTGTGCTCAAATCTGATTTGCCAGTTGAGCAGCCTGTCCAGGTCTAGCACGATGCAATGCAAGTCCAGAGGGCATACAGCAATATTAAAGCAACGACAGCTGGCAGGACACAAATCATGCAGCATAGTTTGATCGCTTGCTGGCTTCACAGCCGACCTATCGTGGATGAAGCCAATCTTAGGTTTTGGCACGCCTTTGAACTGGAGCCCATACACTGCGAGTTTTTGGCCCTCCGGGGTGCAGTGTGCCGACAGCTACAGGCCGGGCAAGATCAAACTTGAGCTGAACACATCTCGTGCGAGGCATTCCGTCTCATTAAGAAATCAAGCATTTTTTCGGATAGGATGGTTCGTAGTGTTAGGTCAGGCAAAGTTTGAAACAAGGGCATTGCGATGCCCAAGCCGAGAAATAACCGCATCGCTCAGACTCTTAAGCCGCACCTGCTGTAATGTTCAGGTTCCGGGGGTCTACCGACAGTTCGAGACGGTGCTGCCGCTGCTGGCTTGCAGAAACTAAGCAAGATGCAGAGCGGCAGCTCGCGTCGTTGATGACATGTGAAGTGGCAGCGCAGAGTAGTCTCAAACAGATGTCAGGTCCATAATGGCATCCTCTTTTCAAGAGGTCCTCTGGCTGGACACAGATCTCACCTTGCTGCAAAGACCAGAGCCACTCTTCGACTCGCTGCAGTATCAAAGCGCCATGGCGCGGCGCAGACATTGCCTGTTAGGCTGTAACTTTAAAGGTGGGATTATGGCATGATGGCTTGTCCAATGGATTTGGGGCAGTGTGAGGCTCTCTGTGGGCGATGGGTGTTGGTTTTGCGTTGGATGCACTTGCACAGCACTTGCGCCCGTGAATGGCTATGCATCCTTCCCGCCATTCCTTGGCCAAGGTACTGGAGCCTTGTTCTGGCCAGATGCCGGGCTGCACGCGTTTTCGGGTTTGGGTGAATCTGTTCATGATGGGCATTCAGAAGCCCACTCATCAGTAGTTGCCAGAATCATCACAGATGAATGTCATGAAGTACAGCCTTCGCATGGACACCACCCAGCTGACATGTAGGCTCTAGACCAGCTGCCGAATGAGATTGGTAGAGCTTTTCGGATAGATTTGCACTTAATTTTTTGGTGTAGTGTTGTGTGGGCAGGCTTGCAATGGTTCAAGCATGTTTCAGATTACGACGATCAGAAAGTTGCGAAATCTCATTAAGCTTCAGCCTTTGGGCTTTACTACGGTTAGTTGAGGATTCCAGGGGAGGTTGCGTAGGATTTGAATTTACTGGCTTCTCGGAGTCAACGTTATCAGATTCCATGGGTTTGAGGCCATTTCTGTAGTGCGCAATCAGCAGGCCGGGATAGGCAGGGCAAACAAGCAGGCTACTGGGTAAAGCTACAACTTCATTTTTCGTCAGAACTTAGCGTAGCGTGCCAATTCCTCAGGAGTTGTCAGCCAGCGTGATTGGTTTCTCTCTTCTTGGACCTTCGCACGCACATTTTTTTGGCTTTTAAACAGCACCACACATGGGGATCAAGGATTTTTTGCGACGGTGTGGCTCTGGTTCCTTTCGACCTCAGATGGCAAGCCCCGCCTTCCTTTGGACCTCTTGATGTTCCAATCGGGTCTCAGGGAGTTGAAAGTCGAAGGCCACGTTCATCGCCTTCTTGACCGTAGAGAAGGGGTCGGCCAGGCGTGCGCGAAGACGGTCTTTTGGGGTGCAGGCGCATGGTTTTGAAGCGACATCATGGCCCAGACACGAGGTGTTAGCATGGGCTGACAGGACTTCCAATCTTGTACGCTTCGGTAGCTTGATGGTTGTCAAGGGTGCAGAGCTGGAGCCGGACTTGTGGCGCCTAAAAGCACGCTTTGTGTTCGAAGGATGTGGTATTCGGGATCAGTGCGGTAGCTTGGAGAGCTATGTGCACCATCGCCCTCGTCTCTTGAAGGGTTGAGCACAGGTTTAGCGTTCGGACTACTAGACGGCCACTCGTGCGCCGTGTCAGATGCTGCGTGGGCTTACGTACAAAAAGCGCTTTGATCGAAGAGTAATTAATAAGACCTTTGTGCTTCCTGCCGCCCAAAAAACGACACTTGGTAAATCCGTGTCTCCTCCTCACAAAGCCCTATATTAGGGCATCCAGAATCCTGCGCACTGGCAGCGTCGCCTTCGCGCAACTTTGGTCGAGCTAGGTGGCGTGGAGTTGAAAAACGCGCCTTCAGTTTACTGTTTCGAAGCTCGGGGAATTGTGGTCTGTGTTTATGTTGGCTTGACGTTGTCCGGAAGGACTGAGGTCCACTGCATTCTGGAAGAGGCTTTTTTGACCGAGTAGAGCTTGAGCCCTTCGCTCTTCTTGCCAGGATCTTATCTACAACTCATGGGAAAGGTACCTTTAACGGCTTGGCTGCCCTAAGCCTCGATGCGGAAGACTTTGCCAGACAGTTCGTGGAGTTGCATTGCTGCATCAATGGCAAAAATGTCAGAAAACAATCTACCCCTCATGAAGATGCCTGCTGGCTACCTCCCTGCGATGATAGCAGCTCGCATCATCATATAGATTCTCTGGTTTGCCAAGCTGGCGCATTCAAATCTGATGGCTGCGGTTGCTACCACTGCTTCTGGTGAGCTGCTGGTCGTTCAACGATGACTGTCGTTACGCCAGGCTGGTAGGGTATGTCTCGGCCACCGAGTATGCTTCAATCATGTACGTGCGTGACAAACCGTCCAACCTTTCTGTGGCCTGACACATGCACTCTGATTTCGGCGGATGCGTCGAAACAGCCAGGTCCACCTCTGGCTACATCATCGCCCTGGAGTCTGGAAGGCGGCAAGTGATTCGCGCTCCTGTCGCGGCCCTGCAATCGGCAGAAAACTGCTTCAAGGATTTCAGCTGAGGCCGAGTGTCCCTTTCAGGTGGCTTGTTCGGAGACGCTGCTCCCTCCTTGGTGTATGGCAGACTTTTGACACTTGGCACCCGCCTCAAAGACGTGATCTTCTCACCAAGCCTTTCACGGTCCGAGTGGCCCGTGATCGATTTTCTTGGGCTCAACTTCCAAACTGCCATCTCGGCTCTGCTGAGCATCAAGCTCGCTCGGCCGCTTGAGCGTCAGAATCGACTAAGTCGCCGTAAGGGTTAATTAGGAAAGGTCTCAGTGTGAGCTTGATCAACTCATACATGCCCTTCTTCACCCAACACATAATCCGTGCATCGCGTAATCGCCATATGCCGGAAATAATGTGTAGGTCCGACATCACCGAGCAGAGTTCGTGACGTTCGTGAGTCTTCAGTCTTAAGAACCCTCCTCAGCAATAACACAGCTCCTGGATTGCCCACAAACATGAGGGGGGGAGCTAAGAAACTACGGCCATCTCCTTCTATGTCTTGTCTGTAGACTCATGTTGTGCAGGCGTCTCCTGCACTAATATGTTCGGCTATGTTCGGCTCAAGGACATTGAACATGCAAAAGAAGCACGGTCAGCTGCACTTTTTCTTGAAAGACAGGGGTTGTAAGCTGCACGCGATATTTGGTTTAGCCCAAGGACATGAAAAAGCTGCATGAGCAGTGCTCCTTCTTGAAGGGTAAAAGTCGTAAGCGTGTCCCGAACCTTGACTTTCAACCAGCCTCCTCCCCTTGTTCCCCCTATGTTGGGCTTCCAGGGAATCATTCTTTCAACTTTGCCCCCTCCCCCACCCCCTTTTTAAGCCCTAGGGAGCTGCACCGCCCCCAGCCCCAGCGCCTGTTTAAAACCGCACATGCTTGCTTCAAATAAATAGCAGTATGTGGGCACTGCGCGACAGAAAGGACGGACCTTCCAATCATTTGTTTTTGCAAGTGCGGGGGGCTGCGCCCCACAAGAACCTGCGTTTCTTGACAGCTGTGCGTCCTTTGCCACTGCAGCAGCATGCGGGCACTTCATTTTCTCCGCAACGGACCGCAGGCTTTCGTAATTCTGTACAGTTTCATACCATCAGCCGCTTTAACAACAAGAATAAAATTTGTACTGGAAGTAATTAACAACTTGAATGATAGTGATAGCCTTAACTGTGCTAACACCGCGAACAAGAACAAGAACACGCAGAACAAAAACAAAAATAGCTTTCAGAGCTATGGTAACAATAGCCAAAGAAAAACAATTATCGAGTTTAGGGCTTAAAGTCTTAGGGGCGAGTTCGCAGGTATCATGCTGGTCTAGGGTCCATAGTTTGTTTTGTTAAATAGCTTCGAAGCTGGCAACGATATGCAACGATTGTTTGAGTGATTAAACAAGCGGCATTACAAGCAGCCTTATAGCATGATATTTCCAGTATATCCGACGTCTGGTTATTTGTGTCATGGTGGAGTGGAGTGAATCTCCATGTTGAAGGAGTGGAGCATTGCCAGACCAGCAAGCGCCGCATTTTACAGCACTTTCCAGGACCAGCAGATGGTGCCATTTACAGCATTTTGGAGCATTCCACAGTTAAAGCGCTACAAGACCAGCGAATGCATTAAATCTCAAAACTTGAACCTTCCGAGACCAGCAGACGCTGTAACTGAAATGTTTCAAGACTAGCAAACGTTTTATGTACAGCGCTTGATGCATTCCAAAACCAGCAAACGCTGTAATTTGCAGCGTTTGAGATGTTCCTTGACAAGCAGATTCAATAAGTCACAGAATTTGAAGTGTTCCAAAACCTGCAGCTGCAGTAAATTGCATCGTTTCCAAAACAGAAAAAACGAGGCGCACCTGCAAAAAAAAGAGCCGAGCCACACCTGTGCCAAAAAACGCCGCCCACGCTCAGCATCAGCTACGGTATAGCTTCCATGTTGACATGTTTTTTGCGGTACGTTGTGCAAGCAAGGAAGCCCTGCCTGCCACTCAAGAAGTAAACCTCCAGCAGTTTAACCTTTTGTAAACTCCTTGTGCCACTGAAGCTATGCTGAAAGCACTGGCATGGCGTCAGGACCACTGGTCCTTTGATTGCCGGCCATTTGGACAAAGCGCCTGGCCAGGTCATGTGGCTTTGAAGCTAGCTTGCCCGCATCAGCACGTTTTTTGTTTATTTTGTTCTGCGGTTGTAGTGGAAAAAAGCTTTGGTGGGATGCCACGTGGACAGGGCCAGGCAAGGCATGGAAACTGGACCTTCAGAGTTGATAGCCCTTAATCCAGTATGTCCAGATCTTCTTGGTCCGTTTTTTTTTTTTTTTACCC